AACAAAGCTTGGCTCCTAGCACTGAAAAATAAAGCCTGCAAAAGGTCAACAAACTCTACCCAGCCACAAGGACTAGTGATCACTACACACAAAAGACCAGCTAACAACACCCATCAATCACAGTGACAGATAATCTCTCCTCCTTATCACAACAATACACCCACAACAAAAAACACACTGATCACCATAATCACCCATCTCCTGAAAAGGACAAAAGCTGATCCAGCAGCTATAAATACTGTACTCAACTCCCAAACAAACTGTACCAGAGCACAGAGTGCTACTCCTGTCCTCTGAAGATGCCAGCCACAGAGACTGACAAAACATTAGGAAGAACAACCTTCAGAACACAACCAAACAGCCCGGAAAAAACCACAACAACCATCAGATTTTACTTTCTTGGGCTCCATGATCACTGCAGATGGAGACAGCAGCTACGAAATTAAAAGATGCCTGCATCTTGGGAGGAAAGCGATGACAAACCTAGACAGCATCTTAAAAAGCAGAGACATCACCTTGTCGACAAAGGTCTGCATAGTCAAAGCTATGTTTTTTTCCTGTAGCGAGGTATGGAAATGAGAGTTGGACCATAAAGAAGGCTGACCGCTGAAGAATTGATGCGTTTTAATTGTGGTGCTGGAGGAGACTCTTGAGAGTCCCCTGGACTGCAAAGAGAACAAATCTATCCATTCTGAAGGAAATCAAACCTGAGTGTTCATTGGAAGGACATCCTGAAGCAGAGGCTCCAATACTTTGGCCAACTCATGAGAAGAGAAGACTCCTTGGAAAAAACCCTGATGTTGGGAAAGTGTGAAGGCAAGAGGAGAACGTGATGGATGGACAGTGTCACCGAACCTACCAACATGAATTTGACCCAACTCCAGGAGGCAGTGGAAGACAGGAGGGCCTGGCGTGCTCTGGTCTATGGGGTCACAAAGAGCTGGACACGACATAACAACTAAACAACAATGAGAGACAATGTGTATTCATTGCACAGTTCACCTGCAGAGTAGTACATCCCTATTAAAAGCAGGGGTCCGTATGTCAGAACATCCAATCGGGGGTTCATAATTATCTTTGTACTATGGGCGGTATATAAGTCCAATAAAAATAAAAATAAATAAAAAATTAAAAAGTTACAGCTTGATCCCTCCAACTGTTCTGCTTTGAGGGGGTAACAATGGCAATCTTAACTTCACAGTCAGGCTGGAGCATCAGTCACTTGTGAACAAAGACTGGAAATGTGTCCATACTAGCTGAGGGTTTGGGGAGCTATATTCCAAAAAACAAAAAATCAAAATCAAATCAAAACCTAAAACAAAGCAAAGGTAAGCAAAACAAAAGTGAAATTTTTTCAAATTTCTAACCTCAACACAAGTAGAAACTCACTGTTTGCCTTTGAGGAAATCATTATTTCAGAGAACTCAGAAAAGTTACTTTTTGGTTTACAACTCTCAGAATCCACCAGCCAGCATAGCTACTTCTTGTGCTGGCAAGGGGATTCCAGGAGTTGTTCAAAGAAGTTAACAGAAACTGAAAAAGTGTACAATTCTGGAAAATACGTAAACTCCTAACTTGTAGAAATCCACAGAAAGGTCATTACATTACACTTACTCTCTCTCTCTCTCTCTCTCTCTCTCTCACACACACACACACACACACACAGAGCACGTGTAGAATTTATTTTAAAGTCATATTTATGATGTGCCCTTTCTCAAAGAAGTACAAGACAGCATACATCGCTCTTCCCCTTTCCTATTGCACCTTCTAATAACGTTCGTGAAAATTACTTAAGAAGCGTAACTAGCCCAAGATCACTTCACAGAAAAGTTATATACTGTACTGCCTTGACTATTCTATTTACTAAAATATTTATGCATATTTATAAGCAGGAGCCATGAGGATGGTGGAATTTCTAATTCAGAGCACTTGGAGGGTGCTAAATGGGTAAAAGATAGTGGCTGCTCTGGACAAAAAAGAATGTAAAACCCCCAAAATACTATGTTGCTCTGACAGCGGTAAGACTGGTCGTAATGTAAGCATTCAGAAATGGTGGCTGCAGCGTTCTGGGAGTCAAGGCCCCCAAAAGCAATATTTCCCAGCCCTGGATCCGAGTATCTTTTCTCCTCTCCCCTCCATCCACCCTGCCAAGCACAACTGGACTCACCCCTCAGCTCCTGCAGCTCCTGGCACAGACTGGAAATCTTGCAGTCGCAGAAGTCCAGGTTTTCCAGAGTTTCAGCTCGCACCACTTCATTCTGAGGCTGCTCCAGCATTGCACTGATCTCCACATGAGTTTTTCTATAAACATCTAGTTCTCGTTCCAGCTCCTGAATGCGGCTGAGCAGGAAAAGGCACTGAGGTGTACTGCTAGACTCCCTGAGGTTGCCTGACCCCTCTTTGTCCCTCAAGCAGTTCTTGGCTGGGTCTGGGCGCCTCCGCTGGCTGCCCACAGGTGGAAGCGGTGCTGGCCGAGAGGGCCGCACAGAGATTGGAAGAACCTGAGAGGGAGGAGATGTTCTGAGGCTCTGTCCTGCTGGCAAGGGAGGTGAGGCTGAGGCTGGGGTGCTGGGCCGGGGAGGTGGTGGTCTCAGCGCTTTCCTCCTCTGGAAGGTGTGCTCCACTGAGCCGCGGACGATGTCCTTCTCAGATCTGAAGTCCAGGATAGAAAAATGCCGGGAGACATTTTCACCCTCCGGGGTCTCATAGCTGGAGTGGCCTGCAGGACTGGTCAGACTCTGTTCAAACTGTGCCAGCTGCTCTGTCAGTTTGGAATCCAGGTCCCCACAGCTCTCTCCATGCAGCATCCCTTGGGAGCGCTCAGTCCGAGTGCTGCGACAGACAGGCCAAGTATCCAGGCCCTCGTGGGTCCCACTGAAACTGGAAGAACGGGATTTGGGCTTCCGCCACTGGACATCCATACAAGAGGCCAGGTCGTCAGGAAGAACATTCTCTGGGGAAAGACTAGGATCATCTCCATCCCAATGTGAGGGCTTGTATGCCTCAGAGTAGCCCCATGATGTCCTTGGACTTTGACTGGATTCTGACTTCCTCGCCTGGTCACGGAGTAGCTTCTTGGGCTGGAGTGCAGGCTGAGGTATACAAGGACCTCCATTCACAGCTGTGGCAGAGTCCGCAGAAGGAACGCTTGATATCCCTGAGGGTAGAGGTCCCAGAAAGGCTTCATTCTGGAGGTTCAACATTTCATTCTGCTTGAGCTGACTGTCCTTCAACGCATCCTCTGTGCTAACCATAAGATGACTAAATTTCTCCTCAAGATGGTCTGTGCTCCAGCCAGGCTCCTCACATATGGGAGTGGGAACTGCTTTGTGGGCACTGGAGGCCTCAGAGCCTACCACCGCCTTTGGCAGGCATGTGGAGTCCTCCCTGAATGGGGGGCTATTCTCCTCCATCTTCACAAACCTGTAGGGAAAGATGCCACGTCTTCCTCGAAGCTCCCCCTCTAGCCAGCCATCTTCTAAGACCCCCAAAATCCGAATTCTGTCCCCCACTTCAAAATCTAGTTCTGTTGCTTCCAGAGCTTGGAACTGATAGAGAGCAATCCCATAAGGCCCTGGACACTCCTCCTCCTCGTTCCAGGTCCTCTGCTCTTCCTGGAGATATGCCTCTTTCACTCCATTCATCCCATGGTTTTCTGAGGACGTCAACGCCTCTGAGTTGCCCTCAGTTTTCAATGGGCCCAAAAGTTCCACAAATCCCTCAGGGAAGATGCCTCTATGGCCCTCAAGCTCCCCTTCGAACCACCCAGGCTCAGGGATCCCCACAATGGTGATCACATCTCCTTCTCGGAAGTCCAGTTCCTCCTCCAGCTGAGCAGAAAGGCCCATCAATGCTCGGGCCTGACCCAGGGCATAGGCTGGCATCTCCAGGGCAGTGCCATAATGAGACTGAGGACCAACAGAAGAGAGGCAGAGCTCTTGTACACAGGACGAGGGGAAGAAGCCTCTGGCTCCCCAACAGCTTCGGCCTTGGGGCCAAGGAGAGGCTTGAGGACCATCCAGAATCACCAGGTCTCCTGCAGGGACAAGGAACATAGAGTCAGAGAATTGCTAAACTGTTGGCTACAGCAGGGGTGGGAATTTATAACGGTAAATTCCAGTTCCTCTGTCAGACCTTTGATTCATCTAGCTCAGTACTGGCAAATCTGACTGATTCTCCAGAGTTTCAGGCAAGATTCTTCCCATGCCCTATCCAGCACTCCCTGACATTCCTCCACTAACGTGCTACCTAGTCTTGGCCCCTTGGCTTTCAAAATTAAATGAAACTGGTAATTACCAGATGAAACTGGTCTGTTCAGTGTAGTATCAAAATGATCCTACTACTGGGGGAGGGAGAAACAGGGACAAGTAAATGGGTCTCCTTGGATGTGAGGGACATTCTACATGAGACTTGGGTACCACAAATCTGTTTCTAGCAAAAGGATGAAGACAGGGAAATCATCACTGGTACCTCGTTGCAAACTCAGGCTGCCAGGCTCCTGGGATGTAAAGTTGCTGGTACAGACAAAAAGCTTCTCTCCTTGCTTCAAAGCAGGAATGTCCACAGGTTCTACAAAACTGCTGGGGAACTGTCCTAAAATGGATGGTGGGAGAAGACAAGTGGAGAGAACTGTCAACAGATCAGGTAAAATATCGACAAAACATTGGAATACACACATTCTCTTCTTCATAAGGATATAAGAATACCCCATTATTTATCTTTCTCCAAGTGTCAGAAATTCCTGTTTCTTCACCCACATTCCAGGATTCTCTAGTCCCAGAGCCGGCTGCTGCCTCTGAGCATGTGCCCCTCACCCAGCTGATAGGTGGGGACATGCACAGAGGCACCACCTGGCTCTGAAGATAGCATTGCCACCAGCAGCAGGAACAGGCAGACGAAGACGACAGAGGCAGTGGGAAGGGTACAGGCGGGCTTCCCTTTTGTTTGAAGTAAACAAAAAGCCTAAGATTTAAAAGTTCAGCATTTTGTTTTGTTTTGGTAAAATGGGATCCCCAAACTGGGTTGGGAAATGAACCACGAACCAGCCTGGTTCATCAGAACATTTTGGTTTGTGGTTTGTTTTATGCCCATCTTTAGTTACAAACATAACCCAACAAACAATATTGCCTGCTAAAAATTTTGCTGCCTGTCCATAACCTGCAAAACTGGGGGATTTATTATTTATTTATTCTGCAGGATGTTGACAGTTCCATTATTTTTTGAAACAATCTATAGTACATATGGTTGCAGATTCTAAGGACTTTTGTAAGAGCTAAATATTAGTAAATAGGTAAAGGTTCCCCTTGACCTTTAGTCCAGTCGTGTCCAACTCTAGGGCACGGTGCTCATCCCTGTTTCCAAGCCATAGAGCAAGCGTTTGTCCATAGACCGTTTCTGTGGTCACGTGGCCAGCGCGACTAGACACGGAATGCCATTACCTTCCCACAGTGGTGGTACCTATTTATCTACCACGTTTTTACATGCTTTCGAACTGCTAGGTTGGCAGGAGCTGGGACAAGTGACAGGAGCTCACTCCGTCGCGTGGATTCGATCTTTTGACTGCTGGTCTTCTGACCTTGCAGCACAGAGGCTTCTGCAGTTTAACCCACAGCGCCACCACGCCCCTATTAGTAAAGAAGAATAGATAAATATTGAAAACTCGTGGTGGTCGCACACATCAGACAAAGGTTGCACCAGTGGTCTATAAAGACGAAAATGCCTGATGCTGTGTTGGCCTGTGGAGCAATCCAGCTCACCACTGTTTACCACAGACTTCCAATTGGAGATGATGGGTGTTGCAACCAAAGACATCTGGAGGGATACATCCAAATACATCTGGACCTATTGTATTGCAGTGGTAAGAAAACTAAAATAGCTCTCCAATTAAAGATTATTATTTGTCCTACACTAATGTAAACTCTTGTATGCTCTGTAAACATATAAACAGAACAATATAAAAGAAACACAATTGTGCATCTGTGAGCAAAATCCAAAAACAGGGTAATATCATTCTTGGACCACTAAGGCATCATAAGAGGTGAGGTTTCAAGTACTCCATTCCAGATTAGGAAGAAACAGAAAAATCCAAAAAATCATCCTGGCTACATACAGCTATCAGAACTCACCAAAATGCCCATGGACTGATAAAGAGTCCTAGAGAACTTGAGTGCTTATATTTTCTTTATATTTTGGTGACCCAATAAATTTATTACACAAGTCTGTTTACAAAAAATAAATAAGACTACCAACAAGTTTCTGTTTCTACTTTGTTTCCAAGAAGGAAAAAAGAATTACCAACAGAAGAAGAAATGCTCACATCTTTAATTATTGTTGGATGGCTAAAACAAAAGTCCCAAGAATTTCTTTGAAGTACTTTAAGACATTTCTTTAGTATAAGCAATGAATTGGATTCAGACTTAGTTATACTCACTTAATGCGACTACAGTATGTCACAGCAAAGTCAAAGCCCACTGATTTAATAGATCTGCTCCCAATAAGTTGCAAATCTGCATCTGACTGAATTACTTGGCAGCTGTCCTTATTTTCATCCTTCTGCAATTCAGGACTGGTTTGATGCTCTCATATTTTATGCAAACTGGACATAGCTTACAAAACTAGGTTCTTGGGATTTTTTGTAAACAAACCTTTATGAGATGATAATTGGAAGCAATGTCATCATGAGCAACGGATCTGACAGAAAGGAAACAGGAGCCCTAACCAACATTCAATCCAACCTAATAATTAAACTGACCCACACAAAATAATCTTTGATTTACAAGTGGGTTCTATATCAAATCAAGCCTGAACTCTCTCAAAAAACTAAGGCTCTTGTACTTTCAACATATCATGGGAGAACATCACTCACTGGAAAAGGCAATAATGGGCGGGCTGAGTCCATAACAGGAGCTGCAGCCTTCAGTTTGCAAGAACTGAGCAGAATGTTTGATGCAACCTTTTGGAGCTCATTAACTCATTATGACTGTCATAAGTCCAAGATGACCTGACGCATATAACAATACAAAACTAAAATTTAATCATTCTAGCATGATACACTTCCTTTAATCCATGTATCTTTATGTTCAACATCATATTTAGTTCCAGCTTCAACTTTTTAAAGCAACGAATTCATAAGGAACATAAATCTTGTTAACACTTAGATATTGTTCCAAAAGTTATGCCATGTCTCTTTGGCTATAACTTCATAAAGCAACTGTAATATGACCTCAAAAATAAGTGTATTTCATCCATGAGAGCTTGCAGTTCTTTTCAGAACTTGTAATAAAGGTATTGGCTACTTTTCTGTTTGTGTACTCATAAAGCAACCGTTACAACCCTAATCTAAAACAATGATAACACCCTAAGATGAAAAACTCTTAAGACAAGATTGGAGGTCTCAGGCTTTGAGGTCACACCCAGCACTCCTGGGATCCCAAACCATGTCCCCTTTCTCCCCAACACAGTCCATGTGTGATTTCTCAGGTTCTGCATAGATTTCTTCTGGTCATAGAAGGCTGAAATGTCTTCCCTACTGCTAGTAAGAATTTTCAAGTTGAAATATGCAACTATTTTTGATTCCACCTACCACTGGTAAGCAGTTCCCAAGAACATCTTCAAAATGTATGATGCCTAGTTTTGACAACAAGGTGAAAAGAACCCATTCCACTCTAGTGCTTCAACCAGGTAACTGTAGCACCAATCTACCTGTAAACAGTGGCAGCTGGTCCATCATGGTAAACGGGGCGCTGTGCCACCTTGGGCTCAGGTTACTGCCTACCAGTCCATTCCTGCCAGCCGTCCTTACCAGAAGGGGAGGGTCAGAGTTGTGTCCATGTCTCTTTCCTGTTGTGTGGAAGCTTGCTTGCTTCTCTCTCTCTGCACACCCACTTTTGCCCCAGCTCTGCTTGTCCCAGTTTTGCCTCTGCCCAGCTGTGCTGCGTCTTCTGTACCACCAATCACAATGCCATTGCCCGTAACGCAGCATGACTTTGAGCTGAAGTAGTCCAGACCTCTCCGCCCTGATGTATCATCAATCCAGCTACAGACACCTTCTTAAAATTCCCATGTACAGCAATGGGAGACGACAAAAAAAAGACTAAGACCATGTTTTAATATTCTTTTTTGGTGCAAGAGGGAAATCACTAAGGGGGTGGGGACAGATAATCTTGAAAATGGCTCCCTCTCGTGGCCATTTGAATTTTTTCCCTTTACATTTCCTATTTACATGAATGGTAAAATGATGCTGCTGTATAGTATTGCTATATACTCTTGGGATTTCTAAATAGAGAAGTGGAATCTTCTGATGCTAACAGAAACCAGATCCTCTCCCACACACTCAACCTAGTCCACTTGATAAGATGGCAGTCAATTTGATCATGCCATTAGACAGACAGGCTCAGAATGAAAACAGACTCTGAAGAGAGGAAGAGACAAACAGCAGGAACTGATTATGTCTCTTTGTCTTTTCTTCTGGCTGAGAGTGAGGCAGGATCAGAGGAGTCCTGCCTTTGTAAAGTGGCTGTGGCTAGCAAGGACAGATGCAACGGAGACAGACAGGATTGGAGCATGTACTGCAGGACTGAGGAACCTGCGGTCCTCTATCAACTGTAAGTCCCATTAAAGCTGGCCAGCCTGCTGAATGGCAAGGTGTGGTGGGAATAGTAGTCCATTGATATCTAGAAGGCCAAGGGATTTCCACCTGCATGGCACAGATACCAAGAAGGATTGTGAAAGTTAGGAATCAAAAAGATGAGCATGGGGGAAGCCTCAGCCCTGTAGCTGGGTTACTGTTTGGCCTGCCACCTTGCAGCTGTGGCAGCAGGATAACCAGCAGCTGTTGCCTTACACTGCACTATTCAGGTTAATGTTGTCATGCTGATCCCACATCATGATACACTGAGTACCTTGAGACGTGCATATTTTAGTAGACTGATTAGCTACCTTGAGACTAAGACTCTTGCTATATACAAAGAGTAGTCTCAATTACCTAGGTGCCCATCTTTTATGTAGCCAACCCAATCTTGGAAAAGTTGCTTTTTTTAAGATGACAGCTCTCCGAATTCCCTAGCCAGCATGAGGTCTGAGAGTTATAGCCCAGAAAAATAACGTCTTCAAGTTTAGTAGCCAACACAACATTGTCCAGGCATAGGAGGGAGATATCGCCAGGCATAATAGATCACAAAAATGCTAATTTGAAGATGATTTAGAGGGAAGCTGAGGATGGGGGAATCTCCCCTCAATAACCCAATGAAAACTGTGCTCAGTGAATATGGAATACTAACTAACTTTTCAGAGGAAGATGGGTAGGAAGTGAAGTACTCTCTGTAGAAGCACTCCAGACAGCAAAATGTTCTTGCTAAACTAACTTGTACATGGTATGTTAAACTTTAGGCACAATTTAGATTTCAGGTCCACCATCCTGAGACCAAATGGAACCACTCAGTGTAGTGGCAATCAGTATACAGTGAGCTGCTTGTATGTAGCCCAAAAAATGACTGACAGATGCATCTTCACATGCTACTGCAAACTGAGTATGTTACACTGTGAGCTCTTAATCTAGTGCACTAGCACTTGCAAAGCTGTTACTCCTACTCCCTATGGACTGTTTTACCCTAAACGTCTGGAGGTACTGATGCAGCCACCAGGAAAATACTGGAGATCAGTTTCTGATTCTTATTTGGAACCTTCAATACTTCCCATGCCCCAAAGATGCTTATTTGGGTTCCTACTTTTCTCCCCACCCATGATCTGGCCTTTCTTTCTGCACAGGTCTATATTGTATGATCTGTGGCACATGTTTACTGCTACTAGCCCTATAATTGCAGCAAAGATGTTTGGGTTCTTACCTGTGACTCCTTCCTTTTTTCCAAGGAGCCAGAATTCATCTATGACTGCCAGCACTTCTATGATGTCCCCCACAAACAGTGGCAGCTCCTCAGAAACACTGGGACAGAAATCAAAGACAGCCCGGACCACGGAACCAGTTTCCATTTTGGAGATCTGCAAGGAAAGCTTATAGGTCAATACCTGGAAAATAGTTACACCACATTACACACTGCAAGGGACATTTAGATTGTAGCAGAAATACAGAAGCACTAAGTTACCCCAGAAACAGGGCTGAGGGTTGTGCCAGACAAGACGCAGAGTTTGGAAAAGGTACTTACAACTCCTAAAATCCCCCACGCTGGTTTAGGTATACTTTTCCAAGCTCTACTCCATGACGTGATACAGAACTACAATTTCCTCTTGATATTCCCTGTTGACCTTCAGCCATTCCCCATCTTCTTTTCCATGCCTTCACTGCAAAGATTCATTTCCAGAGCCAGCTATTCCTCAGGGCTGCAGACATGGGCTGCAAATTGTATTTAAGTGTTTCTACTTTTCCCCAAAGCAATTTTGCACTAGCAAAATTTTGCACAGGAAGAAAGCTGACATGAAACTGCTACTAAAGGAGAAAGTATGTGTGGGCTGTTCTATTCAGAAATAAATTCACAGCCTCCTCCAGCCAAAGCAGTGTCCTCCACGATAGCCTCCTGATCAGGACTTCATCTTTTCTTGTGTGTTACATTTAAAAGCCCAACAAGACTCCTACATTTTTTTTCTTGGGAAGAGGAAATGAGCATACAGATGCTCTCCCTTGGCACAGTGCTAAACGTGTGCACATACCTCTGTGTATGCTAAAATTTAAATCATGGTTTTTTTAATGGAGAACCATGGACAACAGCGGATTTTTCTGTCAGTGGAATTGAGCCTTAAGTCAAATAGTGTGGCCCCAGTTAGATGACTCTCACCCATAAAATGTCAACATGCTACCAAAATGAATCAGGTTTTACACTAACACAGAAAAGAGGGATTCTTTGGCTTTTTGCATGTCTTGGACCCCAAATCCAACAATCTAGTACTCCTGGCGGAGATAATTAAGACTTCTGGGAAGGGAAAGTCTAAAACACCTGGAGGGCCCAACCCTCTACAGTAGGAGCTGGAGAACCAATGGAGATGCTTCAGTCTTACATGTGCTTCTTCTTGGAGTGAGGGGGAAGAAGCTGTATCAACAGCTGGGGAGCCTCCAGTGGAGTTTCCAATGACAAGTACTTATGCAGGTGTTCCCCAGGGGAAAAAAGGAACAGAAAGGGTCAATTCAAGCCCATTTCCCCAAACTTCAGAATCAGGCTGGCTGTGTGAAGAGACTTGAGGATAAGGAATCAGGGGAGGGAGGAATTCCTGTCAGGAAGGAATGGCAAGATGGAACGGAAACTCAGCACTTCCCTGACGCACAGAACTGGGCTTATGGCTGCCAAAGACCAAACCCTGTACAAACAGTGTGAGAGAGAGTGGGACACTGGCACATAGTTGATAACATGTCAGATTAGGACTCAGGAGATCTGAGTTCAAATCCCTTCTCAACCATGAAAGCTCATTGGAGGGTGGCAATGGTAAACAACCTTTTGGACACCTGCCATTTGAAAGTCCTATTAGGGTTGCCATAAATCAGAAATTACTTGATGACACATATCAATGACGCGCACCAGCACCAATGATGGGTACAATCTACAGCATATGAAACCCTGATTGGCCCTAGTAGGGTTGTCATCCTTCACTGGCTTCTGTCCCTGCCTACACTTTCAAACACAGTTTGATCAGCCAACATAAACAGGTAATAAAAGTTCTTCACAACATTGTAAAAACCTTCATTATGTTGTTTTTTAAAAAATCCATGATTTCTGCAGATGAAGCTGTTGTTTAAGGCCCTGGATGAAGCTACAGTGTTCTTTCTATTAAGTTGGCAACCATACGTTATAACACCTTCAGACCATGAAGAAGAACCATATGTTATAACACCTTCAGAAAAGGGAAGGCTTATTGCTGGGCCTTGTATCTCTCTTGCTTGTCTTTGAAGCCCTGCATGCTAGGGACCTCCTGAGTGCTGTATTACTCCTAATGACACCAACAACACAAAGCAATGGCTTGCACTGAATGACACACTTGGCTTGTCTCAGACAATGATTGGTGTCATATCTTGTCCCCACCCTTCCACACCAAATATTCTCTTGGTCTTTGATTCTCAACCTTTAAACCTCCACATGTTTTGAACTTTGCCTCTTACAACCCTGGACCAGTGGCCATGCCACAACTGGGGATTCTTGGGAATTGAGGTCCAAAATATCTGGAGAGCCAAAGGCTGAATGAAATTCATTGCTGTAGGTGATAGATACATTACTATGTTGGAGAGCAGCCTGTCCACCTGCCAGTTCAGGACTGATTGCCTAGATCTAGAATGAAACAACCAGCATTGTTATACTACAAGTGTGTGTAAAGGCCCTGAGTACAGAATGGAAAGCATGTGAGGGAAAAGGCTGGAAGGAGTAACATATTTTGCTGATGGCTCTGCTTTGTTATCAGGCACGGGTAGTCTCATGGCAACAATGTGAAGCTTGAATCCCTCAAAATGCTGCCTTGGCAATTCCCATCTTTTAGCCTGCTAGCACACCCAGAAATATTCTACAGGATGCCCTTTATCAAGTACCCCCTACTAAAGTACGTATATGCATGCCAAAGTCTTCTCTAGCCTTTCTTAGAGTACATCAGATCAACATATCTGCCCCACCAAGGAAGGAAGGAAGGAAGGAAGCAAGCAAGCAAGCAATTTATTTATTTATTTATACATACATACATACTTACATACATACATACTTACATACATACATACTTACATACATACATACTTACATACATACATACTTACATACATACATACTTACATACATACATACTTACATACATACATACTTACATACATACATACTTACATACATACATACTTACATACATACATACTTACATACATACATACATACAACCCATCTGGCTACCAAGATCACTCTGGGCAGTTTACAAAAGCAGTAATAAAAGCAATAACATAAAAAACAGATATAATCAATAACAACCAAACAAAATATAAAAGCAACTAAAACAAAAGTACATTAAGAAATAACATAATAAATAGAGAGGATATCTGTAAACAAGATAACTGGACCATAGCAGAAGCTTCCAGCAGGGAAAACAAATCCTACACAGAAAGGTCACTCGGGTTCTGATCTTTTGTGAGAGGGAGCCCCAACGGAATACCTCCAGCTGCCTATCACCCTGTAAGTGTCTGGGTCCAACCAGAATTTGGTAAAAGGTGGTAAGCCTCATAAGAGAATGCCCATTTGAAGCTACTACACAAGAGGGCCCCTATATAGACATATGAATAATTCAAATACATAAATAAATAAACAGAACCCACTGTGTGCTCATGTTAGAGAACAGAATATCTATTTACTGCCCTCATCTGCTGCCTTTTCTTGAGCTCAAGACAATTCCCATGGCTCAATTATAGGCCTGGAGCACAATCAAACATCTTCCTTCCACCACTGTAAAGAAATACAGCTAGATTTAGACCGAATGCTTAACAAAAACCTAGAAGGAAAAATGATTTTATACCCCATGTGATCAGGCTCTCTCCAGCTGCCAATCAGATGGACCAAAAAAAGGAGGTTACAATGATGCTTCCCTTAAGTGTATCAACTGCTCTGCAAATACAAAGCGGAAGCTTGTAACTGAAAGACTGGATGACATAAACTTCAGATTGTAATGTGCACAAATGTGTAAAGTCCAAAATAATGCTGAATCCAATAAGAGAAGAGGGAGCATCCTGTAGTATAGCAAACCAACATATAGATGCAGATGGATCATGTTGTCATGCGCTGTCAAGTCGGAACCAACTTATAGCTACTCTAATAGGGGTTTTAAAGTAAGTGAGATATTTAAATAGTTTCACCAGTCCCAGTCATTTTCCATGGCCAAGCAGGGATATGAACCTAGGCCTCCTGAGTCCTAGTCCACCACTCTATCCACTACACCAAACTGGGAATCCCACAGATGGATCATAGCTCTGTTGAAAAGCGAATCATATAAAGGAGTGTTATGGTGAACTTGCTGGAAAGAAAGGCTCTTTCAGCTACATAAGTGTAGGTGTTGATGAGTTTTAAAAGCCTTGAAAAAGTGTGTGCGTATGTGTGCGCGTGTGCATGTGCAGTACTGAGAAAATGCCAGAACATTCGTCTAGTTACTATGGCCATGGTGACAACACACACACACACACACACACACACACACACACACACACACACACAGAGGGGGGGGAGAGAGAGAGAGAGAACATTCTGTATTACCAACAGTCATTTTATGTAGCCTGGGGAGGGAAAAAAGAGAATGCGTGCAGATCACAGATGTTACTTTTCCTGTGTTGTCACAAACTACCTCTAGTTCTGATAGCTTGTGGGACCGGGGCAGGATATTGGAGGGCTGGAACTTGAGATTCTTTCCTTTACATAGAATTATTTTATTACAGGAGCCACATGGAAACATCCCTCGCACCCATGTTATATGAACTGACTCAAGAAAGGGCTGCTTATTTTGTGAGGGAATGTCAGCAGATTGCAGTCTCCTCCTCTGGAACATCTGCTTGCTAATTCTTACTCAAAACTAATGTCTAGAGGGAGGAAACATCCTCTCAACTCTATCCTGGTCAGATCATTAGAGAACCAGGCCTTCTACCCTGAACAGCAAACTGTTCCCAGATTTCGGGCCTCAGGCCTCCTCCCCTTGGCTAGCCATATCCCTGCCAAGTGTAACAGCCCTGCATGCTGTAGCAGGAGGCACCAATCCAGGGGAAAGCTTTTCACCCACCCACAGGGTTGGGATCAGGGATGAGTCACTAGCTCTGCCTGCTTGCCAGCACCACTCCTCTGTTCCCTCAGGGAGATCCACAACTGAACAGAGAGGAGTGAGAGAATCAGAGGTTGCCTTTCACTGCGTGGAGGCCTGCTAAGGCACTAGAGGCCTCTCATCTCTTAGCAGCTCCCCCAACCACAGCAGTGAGACTCCTTGGCCCCCAGTTTTCCCAACATCCTGAGTATGTTGATTACTCTATTCAGTTTGCCCCTCCTGAAGAACAA